CTATCCCGTCAATAGCTTGAAGAGACTTCCGGAAACTACAAATATCCTCAGTCAGAACAGCCAGCCTCCGCAACGGGATTTGAAGGAGGGACCTGCCGAATACAAAGGAGCACTAACCACTCGAATGTGATGTTCGATAATGTTAAAACTGTTGTTTGTCGGGATACAACGCCATGTAGTTTCCTACACAGATATCAGAGCCTCCAACTGCAGGGCAGCAAAGTAAGCTGCGTGAGAGGAAACGTCAGTGATAAGGGAAGGGAGCACCAGGATTGGAGATAAGATGAAACCCATGGTAGCGGTGTAACTAAATGGAAACCCGCATCCCTGACTGGAAGATATGTAAAAGGCAGAAGGTAAGGAAGGCGAAGAAGGTAAGGGAACAATAAGTAAAATGAAATACGGTAAGATAAGGAAAATAAGATTCGCTTAGTGGGGGGTGGAGTCCAACTGGCTCCACTCGGCACGACGGCCACTGATTGGCCTATTGTACCTGCCCTGGGTGATTACAGGATTTGTCCGGAAAGTAATGCAATTTGTCTCTTCCCGCCGCTCCTCCTGGTCGCAGGGCGTTCGGAACGGCTGGTAAAAGGTGGGAGGGACTCTTAGCTTCACAACGCTTCCAAGCTCAGTCTGCTCTGAGCTCTGGGAGCGTCAGGATCGCTATTTCTGTGAACCTCTGTTAGTGCCTGTGTCACGACGCGCAATGGAGAAAACTATCGAACAAAGTTACGCGATCAAGTTCTGTGCTAAACTGAACAAAAGCCTCGCCGACACCCACCAAATGATTCAGAAGCCTACGGGGACTCTGATCTCTCCCATTCTCAAGTCTCCAGGTGGTTGAAGTTGTTTAAAAATTGCCGGGAAGAGGTGGAGGATGATCACCGCTCTGGACGGCCGTCAACCAGCAAAAGTGACAAACATGTGTCTCGTGTTGGTGAGCTTTTAAATACCGATGGTCGAATGAGTGTTCGGATAATAGCAGACTCTCAGTATTCCGAAAACCACTGTGCACGACATCGTTAGCGACAATTTGCACATGCGGAAAGTGTGTGTCAAGTTGGTCCCCAAATTGTTGACTGACGACCACAAGAACAACCGAGTGACGATCGCGAGTGAACTTTAGGAACGTATGCAAAACAAACCTGATTTTTTGGACGATGTCATTACCGGCGACGAAACATGGGCCTTGAGTACGACCCGGAGACGAAGCGCCGAAGTTCCGAATGGCACACCTTGGAGTCCCCTCGTCCCAAGAAGGCAAGAATGAGCAAATCGAAAGCGAAAACCATGCTCATTGTCTTCTTCGACGCCAATGGTGTGGTCCACAAAGAATTAGTACCCCAAGGGCAGACAGTCAACGCTACCTACTATGTGGAAGTGCTCGACAGATTAAGAAACAGGGTCGTCCGCACTCGAAAGAAGATCGCCGCTACCTGGCAGCTGCACCACGACAACGCTTCCAGCCACAGCACACTGCGCGTCCGGGAGTTTCTGGCCAAGCACAGCTTGGGAACGTTGCCCCAACCCTCCTACAGTCCTGACCTGGCTCCGGCAGACTTCTTTTTGTTCCCGAGGATCAAGACCTACTTGAAAGGAACCCGTTTTGGAACCACTGAAGCGATCCAAACCGCCGTGACAAAGTCTCTAAACGAGGTCCCCGTCGACGCCTTCCAGGATGCGTACCGTGCATGGAAAAGTCGCTGGCAAAAATGTGTGGATGCCCAAGCGGAGTACTTTGAAGAATTTTAAACGTTTGTAACGATATCTTGAATATTTTTTTTACGAACTTAATTGCATTACTTTCCGGATAAACCTTGTACGTATGATGATGGAGAATTTGGTGGAATGAAGATTGGCAGGGGAAACAGCAGTACTTGGAGAAAACCCGCCCCAGCGCCACTTTGTCCACTACAAATCCCACTTGACTAATCCAGGGAAGGAAAATAAGATAGTATAAATGTCAAAATTAAACCAAAGGTCCTAAAGAGAAGGAAGTGAATAAATGGAGAGAAGGCAGGAGAGGGGAAACTAACAGAATCCCTGAAAATAGCTGTTGTCCAAAGTCTTCGAAAAGAGGTTACCAGATGGCCCAAACAAAGGCCAGGTTAGAGGAATCAAGTTACGGCATATCCTTTCAAGTATACTTCCTACGTTCCTTCGGGAAGTACATGCCATCTTCCCTTGTTAATGCTACTGGGATGAATCTAACGGTTCAGTCTACTACCCCAACGGCAGAAGGTTCCTCCGAAACGTTGATAACAGTCTATCAAATTAAATGGGGTAACATTCCAGAAGAATCATCTTCATATAAACCGCTGTCAGAACCTCTAATCTCACTTCCATTTATCAGTCTTAAAAGTGGTCGTTTTCCAACAGGTTGTATAGCTAGTCTCCTGTTCGTTATTTTAGTTCAATTAACATAACTTTCACAGTATATGTCCTTAATGATACGGACACGAACAATCCAAATCAAACACATGCAGGTGGGAAACTCAGCTACCTCCGCGCTATCTGCAACATTACTTTGGCGCGCGTTTAGGCCAGTGCAAAGAAGCGATGTCTTCTGAGCACATAGAAGAATATCGGGCCATTGCTTTAGCATATGAAGCGAGGAATTCGCTGAATTATGGATCAGTTGCAGCCAATACTGCTGTTTCGTACACGTTCTTAAGAGAATATGGGAAAAGTGTTTATACTTATATATCTCGATGAGTTTAATGTGTGTGCATAACTGAAGTTTTCTTTACCACCACGCATCCACTTTACACTCCTAACCACATACAGTATCAATAGAGAGCTTAAGTTTTGACATTGGATTCTTAACTTTTTACGTCGGAAAAAGTCTCGCTGCCAAGCGCCGAAATATACGAGAATGTACGTGATTGCCATGTACATTCGCTACACTACATCATTTGTTGGTCCTCAGCGATATATTTTTGAGTTTCGTGTCATTATCGTGCCAGGGGCAAAGATAAACTGTTTTTAAAATTACGTTAAAGCTGCAGTTGGGCGAATTTTAGAGGACAGATGGACAGTGTACAAGGCTGTGAAAGAAACGAGAATATGTCCCCCAGCACTCTTAAGGAAAAGCTGTTGGATCTACTTTCTGCTGAAGAGAAAAAAATAAAGGTAATGCCCTTTCCTGGTAGTTATATATGTGAGATGCAATCAGCTGATTTCACGTTGCAACATGGGAGAAAGGAAGTCCCTCGATGTCCCCAAGTTTGCGTTTTAGTTGTGATTAAGAATCCGACTAAACAATTTAAAAGTTCTCAAACAACGCTATTCAACCCTATTCTGATATTTATGAATCACTGAAGTTTGCATTTCTATATATTGTTACACTACATCCACTGCTAGGCAACGTGCTGGTAAACAAGTTTCCGTGAAGACAGATTCTTGGTAAACAGTCCGTTGCTAGGTTAAGCAACAATAGATGAGGCTGCGTTTTTTATGCGGTTTGCGCCAAGTAGCAGTAGAATAACGGGGTTATGCTATCGGTTTCTAAGCAACGGCTTGGTAAACACATTTCCGCTTAACGCAACGTGCTATGAAATCGGTGACGTCATCAACAATAGAGACGGCGTTTTCCGTGGGGTCTGTGCAGAGTGCTTATAAGGGAAGAGAGTGACATAATTCGTTCAAGTGTCAGTTACGATTCAGCTGTAAGCTGGAGGAGTGAGCCCAGAAGAATTCATAGTGACCTGAAGTGCTAGTTTCTGTGTTGAGATCCGCTGGCAGGAGACAACTAGTGAAGACTGGGAATCCTAGTGCGTGTGCAACGGTGAACTGGAAAGTGTGTAAATCAGCGATAGCGCTGTATTTAAGTGGCATTAAACAACTTGTAACCAAGGTGCTAGTAAATCCAATCATCAGAACTACAACCCGTTATTTTCGTCACGCGTACCACCCTACACGTGACAATATGTTCTGGCACAGATCAACCTATCGCGGAATCACCCTAATGACACTGCGGAATTGCGTGAACTGTACAATAAATGCTGTGCCCCATGAATACACAATGTACCTCAACTGTTTCTTTGATACAGCACTTAGGCTAACAAAGCCTTGTTCTTTGAAGTAAGATCTAATAGTTTGTGACGATGGGATATTAATACAATGGCCAATCTTCTGGACGTTATCTATTGTCCGATTTTTTTTAAATTTAAAATGACGTTTCGAAGACCGATCTCTGTCTCCGAAACGTCATTTAAAATAATATCCGTTGCCCGAATTAGGAAAACGGATAACGTCCAGAAAATTGATAAATATGTTTATTCTTTGAAGCTGCATATGTCGTTACTTTAAAAATTAAAAACTGCTTGCTTCCTTAATTCATTATTTTTAGGAATGCGAAATTATTCGGCTTTTCCTTACGAAGAAAATATCGTTCCACAATTCTGTACACAACCAAAAGCAAATTGGGCATGTTCAGATCGAAGGCAGACTTCAACAATGCATAATTTTGGTACACCTCTTTTTAAGATTAATTTCCTTCGTTAACAATTAGAAAACGGGGATTATAGTACCACGATAGTCGTGTGGTGTTCAACTGTCCACAGTTAAATTCTGAAAATGGGCCGATTTTTCATGAAATTCGACATGAACATAATGCGAATGAAGGCCACTTAATATTCAGACTTGTTTATGTTCCACCAACAACCACCACCCCAGAATGCCTGAGATGTGTTACTGATCGCAATTTTCACTAAAACTGGTAAATAAAGGACTTTAAGTGGAAGTTGGACGGAAGACAGGCAAACTGCTCGCTAACAGAGCTCAAAAGGAAGAACACGGTTTCCTCGGCAGCCTAAGAGGGAATGTCCTCTTTATGTGACTGTTATATCCTGAATGTGAAGCAAAAAGCAGCCCCCTTTATACTAACAGATCCTTACGGGCTATCATTGGCAGAATACTTCCGGAAGCATGGCAGAGAAGAACCCTTAGATACTATTTGCAGAAGCGAATTAGCAAACAGCAATTTTACTGGTACTTACATTTATCAGCTCGAACTTCTCCGCATCTAGTCTGAAACAGAGGAAGAAACAGTCAATTAACCGTTTAAAGACTGAATTTCTTCTAATTATACGTGTACATACAAATTCAGTTCGCACCTCACAGGAAACACATTACGTCTTCATTACAAAGCCCAACCAATTAAAGCTGTTTATGATAACATTCGTTGCTTACTGTGAGAACCATATACAAATACAAACACTAATAATCTCAAATGAAGGAAGAAGCGGTGGAGCCGGGTCAAGCCGAAACCAGCTACGACCTAGCAACTTCAGCAGCGGCAACACCAGGTTGGGCAGCATCAAAGTGGTCATCGGAACAGAGGGGCCGATCGCCATCGACTCCCACTCCCTGTACTACTATGCAGACGGAGCCGCAGGCGGAAAGGAGGGACGGTTAAAAAAGATTAAGTGGAGCCCAACGTAAGGACAGTTATAATTCCACTTTAATTCGTCTTTGCAGCATTCCCTTAACAAGAAGAGCGAATGGAGAATTCCATAAATGTCGACTTGTTTCAACGTTTCATACTAGGTCTGTGGAAAATCACACTACACCTCGGAGTAGCCGATCCCGGGATCTATACGAACACTTTCCAGATTCCTCACTCAGGACGTCTCTCAACCCCTGTCGATAAATGGGTACCGAAACATACAGCAGCACTGCCTTATGAGGGATTACTGGAGACTCCCGCACAGTGAATGGTCGGAAGGTCAGAAGTCAAGCGAACAGACTGGCCAAGGGCGCCAATGTTCGGTTCGCCATTATCAACCCGAACTATATAGAGTGCTGCCTGATGCCTAACATAATGATTCCCCGGGCAATCAAGCAATGAGACAGATCAACAAATACACCCCGCCCCTACACTACTGTGTAGTGTTACCGGAATGCTAATGAAGCAGGAGGGTATAATACAGAGAGAGAGAAGCAGGGATAATGTTATATTTTAGCGTCCTGTTGCACTGATTCATGTCCATGATTTATGCTAACCGTCTTACAGTGCACACACTTTTTCACCTTACTCTTCTCTTTTGCACTATATGTTTCAGCACTAATGTGCCATCTTCAGGTGCGTTTTCTCTATGCACGTCTAACTACTGCATTGCATGCCCCGATGTCTTCATATTAAAATGACTAAAAGCAGAACACTATAGATAATTCAGAAGGATAAAAAACGAAATGGGCAACAATTTATAACATATATATTGAAATCAAGACCACGAATAAATAAATATAACAATAGTGGCATATATAGTATGAAATGCCTAGATTGCCCCATGGAATATATAGGACAAACTGGGAGGAAATTTAATACCAGATATAAAGAACACATACATGACATAAGACACAATAACAGCAATACAGGATACTCAGAACACATATTAAATACAGGACATGCATATGGTACTATAGAAAACACTATGGATATCATAGCAACAAATAAGAAAGGGCAATACTTAAACACATTGGAAAACTATCATATATACAGAACGACAAAGAAAAACACACATATGAACAATATAAATAAAGAAATATATAACCCAATATTTCACTAATTACACACTATTTACACAGAACAACATAACAACCCCCCGCCACATCATAACTCAATCAAAACGAAGACAGCACACACACACACACACACACACACATATCCAGTAGTATAATGCACGCAGTCACAGGAGCAAGAACACAACAAAGAGCACAGTGAATATTAAACATTATAAAAACACACGTAATAGATAAAGGTCAGAATGTGGTATTAATGAATAACAACTTCACGTTACAGATACACACATGAATGTAGGAAGAGTGCTCCGACAGAGGATTGGCGTGATTCGCGTGTTTAGATACGACGTAAGGATGGCGAATCCTCAAAAGTTTTAATATTTAAAATCTATTATTATACAAGACGAATACGAGTATATTAATATGAAGACATCGGGGCATGCAATGCAGTAGTTAGACGTGCACAGAGAAAACGCACCTGAAGATGGCACATTAGTGCTGAAACATGTAGTACAAAAGAGAAGAGTAAGGTGAAAAAGTGTGTGCACTGTAAGACGGTTAGCATAAATCATGAAGAAGGGATGGTTACAAGGACTGAAGAGAGTGATAAATTTTCTTCTTTATTTAAATGTGTCTAGTTCCATCAGAACCGAAGTATTCTACACGTAATTGTTCATAAAATTCAGGAAATCGCAGTTTAAAACAAAATTATGAGAACAGAAAAAAATCCAGTCAGATGATTTCCCACATTATTTCTCGTCAAGCTCTTATTTTCATTTTCCGCGTTAAACGATTTCCTTTTATTAGATACACTGTGACATGATTACATGTTCCGTTGCTTGGCAATGGATACGAACATAAAAATAGAACTGTTTGAAGCGGCGTTTTCTGTGTGGTCCGTGCCGAGGCCATATAGCAAGCATGAACGCGAAAAGTGTGTTAGTTGAGAATAGACCATTGGAGCAATGAGTTAGGAGTGAGAGAGTCGCCAGCCGGTAAGGACGTTAGCACGGACACAGAGGACACTGTTGAGATCCGTCACCAGGGAAAGTTTGATGAAGGCATAGCAAACTGAGAAGACTTAGCGTGTGTTGCAGTGAGAAGTAGAGTGAGGGAATTAGTAGGAGCGTTATAATTGCGTGTAGTTAACGATTTACAAGAGCTCAGTGTCTAGTGCCGTGTCTAGTCATTAACACGTCACGATATGTTTATTATAGTTTCCTATCAGTATTCTCGGTGCTAGAGCAACCTTCCGACAAAGGTAAGCTTTTGTTAATTCATTTTCCTTCCTAGGTTGGGTTGCTGTACTTCTGAACACTAACAGCAACAGGTTCTTGTCTGTCGATCTTATTCCTGTTGCATTTGTATTTCTAGGAGCCTGAACATGAACTGCATAAATAATAAAGCAATGTTTTGTAGACGACGAGAGAAAACGCTGTGACACTTTCCTTTGTGAATTAATATTCTGACTGGACAACAGCCATCTGAATTCAACAACTCTGTATTGCAGCAACCCTTACTGGTCACGCCGCTGCTCTGTTCAATCGCAACGGCTCTGACTGACGTTGTACCTTTGAATGGAAAAATTCCATTCAGCTGCTGTGTTAGCGTTGCCAAGGAAACTAATCTCCGTCCGTAAAAACAGAAGCAAGCAGATTACGATCAACAGAGATGGGGAATTTGCGACTACAAAGAAACGAGAACAAAAGAGATGATAATGGAACACATCTCTGTCTAATCCACGTAATGGAGAAGTGGGTAAGACGAGAAGAAATGAGAAGAAGAAAGACGGAGAAAATAAGCAGGAAGAGGGGAAACAAAATGAAAAAGCATAGCGAGTGTGAGAGAAAGGAGATGATACAAAAGAAAATACGGATCAGAAGGAAAGGAAGGAGAAGAGAACGAAGAGTTAAAGGATAAGAAGAACTTGTTAGAAGAACAAGATGAAAGAGAGGAGGAAAAGAAAAAAAATGAAGGCGAGAAACAGTAGAAGGTTTCGGGAAAGTGTGGAGGAGGAAAGAGAAGACCGAACTTAAACGTCTATATGTATCCACAGTCCGTCAAGCAACAATTATTTATTCACCATTTAACACTTAACATGTTTCGGCCAAAGATGACCATCTTCAGGTGTCTTAATGCACGCAAACTGTTACACAGCTCTGTTTTGCGCTAAGACCGCGCGCTGCAGTCCACTTAAAAATAACGCAAATAATTAATTAAAATCCATTAACATTTCTATTCAAATTTGTTCGTAAAATCCTATCCATCTCATAAGGGGCGTCGTCCACTTCTTCGTGATGTTCCAAAAGGTTCGTTTCTGCAGCTTGTTTCTCTGTTTCTTAGCCCGTTGTTTTGCTACGTCTGCAATCTGTAATCTACAAAATGCCACAGGTTATTATTGTTTTCTGATTGTTATTACGAACGTCGTGTTATGTTGGTTTGCTGGCTGGCTCGCATTCTGGAGACACGCAGCCTGGCTCTCATGAAGTCTTCTGTGGTTTCCTCAGGTCCTCTCAAGCTGTCTGTACAATGCGTTGAATTTGGCAGCGACCGCTTCCTCCCACATTTCTTTGCGTCCACCGCTCAGTCATCCAGCCATAGGGTTACTTCATGCAGCGCTACACAACCTCGGCAATTGGTACAGCATTTAATACAACAATCAATAAACAAGGAGGACATAGAAGCAGACTGTATCGTAGTATCCAACTGCCTGAAGAGACAATCGTCTCACAAAATTTCATCGTGATGCAAACCTTGTAACATTAAATTCTGACAGATTTGGCAGGCGGACAAGGTGGGCTTTTCACCAGCAGATGCCACAGCAAACACGAGCGAACGTAGTGAAAGTGCTTCTTCTCCTTCCTGGGTTAAGAGGTCAGGTTCACACTCTCACTGCGGCCTCTACAGACGCAAGGAGACGTGCAGTACTTCCGGTGAGGCAGCTGCTAAAATCATTTCTGCTTCTGCGGCTTTTCATTACATACCACGCCTTTCGACTCTCAGCCCTTTGGACAATTTCGGAAGATCATTACTAATTTTATTCTCTCCTCTTGCTCCCACTTTGGAGCACAGGGCTGATTTCTCTGTTTCATGAGCAGTTTACAGAAGATGGGACTTCTTGGCCGGGTGATAAGCTCGTCACAAGGCCTCTACCTAAAGACGGGACAACACAATCACAGAATAAACGCATACACAAACCAAACATCCATGCTTTCTGTGGAATTCGAACCCAAGATCCGGGCTTCTGAGCGAGCGAAGACAGTACATGCCTTAGACCGATCGGCTACCGTGACCGGCTCTCACTAAAATTAGTGACACAATATTACTTCCAACGTTATGGGTAATCTACTTGAAGGCATAAAAGAGTAGTGTATAATGCTTTGGCACTAGAAGAAATACTATTCACCTTTGAAGGTACGAAATATGGAATTCATTAATCTTTACACCTTGCATTTGAAATATTTTCGATGTGAATATTTTATGAATTGTATGACGACTCCGATATG